CCAGCATGGCTGGCTGAGGAATTCTGGGAGTTGAAGTCCACTCATCTTAAAGTGGCCAAGTTTGGACAACACTGGCCTAGATGATCTCAAAAGCACCTTTCAATCCTTATATTCTGTTATGCAAAATTGTGTAGTGGTGTGGACCATTTAAAAATGTTGCTGATCCTGTCCTAGAGCATCTCTGTATTTTAAATCCCAGCACTTCTTTCTGATCACAATGTTTTCTTTACAGTAACAAAGGGATGGAGCATCTTCTTAGTATGAAGTGCAAGAATGTAGTACCAGTCTATGATTTGTTGTTGGAGATGCTCAATGCTCACACTGTCCGAAGTCACAGGAAAACACCTGTCTCCAATTCTGAGAATAGTCCACTGGAACAAACAGAGGCAACAGATGGAATTCAGCAGTGATTTCATTGAAGTCCAAAACCAGGAAATACCCAAAGAAAAAAAGAATGAAAGAAATATCCAGATCAAAACTTTGGATATTTGCTGTTAAGAAGACAACCACATCTTTACAATTTTTACTGGACTATTTGTTAAATCTTTTTCAGACTGAATGTTGTCTGTCAACTTAGACAGTTTTAGAAAAGCCCCATGTGGTTGGAACTGAAAAGCCTGCTGAAGATTTGTGGCTTTATCAAATGTTGCATTTCTGGAGTGCCTTCTAGAGGAGACTGTTTAAGTGCCAAAACAGCCTTAAGCTTCACGGTATCCCAGGTAGATGCCAAAATAAGCTTTTTTACAAAAAGGAAAGCTGGACAACTCATAAGTCTAAGATCCCACAACAAATGTGTGACAGGGCAGAAAGAGAGGCAACTTCTGATAAGAAACTGAATAGTTTGGCATGATGCTGTTCATCAGTGCATCAAGCTGCACATTACAGCAAACAGGAAGAACTCTGCTCGCATTAGAAATGCATGTTGTTCAGCTTGTTAATTGCAACGGACATTAATATGTTTTTCCATTGTGCAAGTGTACTTTAGATAAGTTAGTAAAGGGGAATATTGAGCAGGTCCTCATATTTAATTGCAAAGCCTTGTCCTGGAGAGCTTGTTTCTGGATCCGTTCTGATAAAACGAACTAGAAGCATTTAAGCCCCAGTTTGTATTGACTGCTATCTGAGCATTTACCATGCATTTGATTTCTGTGTTCAAGTACCTAAGTGGGTGGCTTTATTTCCTCTTAGAAGCTTGTACAATATATTGCTGTTGCTGTGAAGGAATTATTACAGTGAATATTCAGCATTTGTGAATAGTGATGTAATATTTGAACTACAGAAGATCAAAATAATTATGGTTATTTGATATGAATAAGGAGAAGAGTTTCAGGTGTCTACAGATAAACCTAAAAGTACAAAATAGGAGATGAGTTGCCTTTTGGAGGACCAGATAGAATGTGCCTGATCAGCCACCTCATGCACATCCATGTATCTCCACCAGCTTCTCACTGTAGAAGGCAGCTCTACCCAAATATATAAAGCGTAGTCAGAGCTGATGGCATAATTAAGGACAGTTAAGGAATTGTGTATGCATTATTGTTCCATATGAATATGTAAATGCATACATTATTCTAAAGCTTGCAGAATGATCTGTATCATATGCGAGTTTTGTATACAAGCACCTGGGATAAAAAAGTTAGCCTAGGAAAGGCCTTTAGGAGTGCAGGATTTAGCATCCCTGAACCAGACCTGGAAACAGTGATCTGTGCCTGACTGTAGTGCTCTTCATGTTGAGTTCCCTTTAAGGAGTGTCCAGAAACTTCAGTTGGTACAAAATGGGGCAACCAAGCTCAGCAACAGCCACAGTAGCCACAGTAACAGAAAATATTGACACACATATTCTGCCTTTAGGTAGTTACATTCCAATGTTTAAGGCAAGTATGTAACTCACAATATTTACATTATGATATCTTTACATGTATTTTATCCCTTGGCCCCCCATTGGTGGATCTCCATGGCTAGGCTGCTAAGTTAGACACAGTACTGAGAAGATCTTACATGCCTCCTGAAATACATCTGGTTGTCAGTTATTTTCTGGGTACAGTTATTGTTTTTTTTAAAATTATTTATTTATTTATATATCAGATTTGTCACTGCCCATCTCGTTAAAAAGCAACTTTTTTTGATTTTTAGTCCTAAACATCTTTGGATCTAAGACCACTCATCTCAGTTTCATCCTGTCCAGTCATGATGATTCATTCATTCATTCCACATATAGCCTACTGCAATTCAGTAAGGCGGTTTGTGAGATATAGGCAATATCTAAAACATCCATGTTACATTTTATACTTAACCAACCATGGTAAATCTCTGAGAATAATTTTTAAAAAACCAATCATGATGAATCATTTAAATTAATTATACTCAGTCATGTTAACTCCACAAAGATAAAGATCAGCAGGAGATGCCCTCTTAAAGATGCTGATCCTTTCCAAGGTTTGTATGTTGGACAGGTGAGAAAGCGCTTCCTCCCCGTTGCTCCCAACCTTTGGAATGCCTTCCCTGCAGATTCACGCTCAGCCTCTTCCTTCTTCAGCTTTTAGGAGAGGAGTCCAGACCTTTCTCTGTAACCAGCCCTTTTCAGTATGAATTGGTTAATAATTAGTTTAAATGGTTTAAATCACATTTTAACTGTTTATGTTTATCTTTGATTGTCAGCTGTCTTGAGAACCCCCAGGCTACAGAGACGGAAAAGTTAACAACAACCCTATTAATTGGAAAGTCATGGAAAAACTGCCTGATTTCAATTGGACAAAGACGAGAAGTTTTCTTTTTTCTTTTGGGGGGAAATATCCAATGATAGGGCATTTTCCCCATTAACTTTTCATTCCCAATGGGAATCTCTGTGGCCACAGCTGCAAAATTGTGGTCCAGGAACCACTGGGATTCTGCAAAGGTTCTACAGATAGTCTATGTTACAGGCTCCATATATAAGGTTTTTTTTTTAAATGACAAAAATCTTGTGAGACTGCCAAATCTTGGAGTTTCAGCAAATAAACATTTTAAAATTGAATAATAAGAACTGATTGATTGGGAGGGGGGGATCTTATGGGCACCTGAGAAGATTGTGGATGCTGCATGTTGCTGGCCATGGGCTTATTCAATGGTCCCTTAACAGCTTTTGATGTCAATGTAGTGATTTTTTATTTTTTTTTTTTTGGTGCTTTCGAGTCAGTGTTGACTCCTGGTGACTGCCTGGACAAGTCCCTGCAGTTTTCTTGGCAAGGTTTTTTGGAAGTGGTTTGCCATTGCCATCTTTTTCCTGGGGCTGAGAGAGAGTGACTGGCCCAGGGTCACCCAGCTGGCTTTGTGCCTAAGGGGGGACTAGAATGCACGGTCTCCCAATTTCTAGCCTGGTGGCTTCACCACTACACCAAACTGGTTCTCGCTAATCACAATGTAGTGATTAGCATGAGCAATAAAAGCTGAGAACAACCAATCTATGGAGATATTACATTTAGTTCTGTGCACATGAAATAATTTGGATGTGCTCAGCTGCCTGATGTGATCTGACACATCAATGAGCTTTTGCACTTTTGTTTTGAACCTGTACTCCCAATCTGGTATTTTCTTTATGGTACAAAGGATAGAATTGGAATCAGAAGTCCTCAGAAGTCCAGTGGTCAACGACTTCAGATGTGGTTCAGAGCATTTCTCCCACCTCTTCAGTTGACACGGGAGGATGTGTCTCCAGGTTGGGGTGGAGATAACTGCAAATAGGAACTTGTTCTTTTTTTGCTCTAGAACAGTGTTTCTCAAATTTGGCAACTTTAAGATGTGTGGACTTCAACTCCCAGAATTCCCCCTGTGCTGGTAGGGGAATGCTGGGAGTTGATGCCCATACTTCTTAAAGTTGCCAAGTCTGAGAAACACTACTCTAGAGAGCCCAAAGTAAGGAACAGGAGTTTGGCTGAGACACTTATGAAAACAATGTGTGTGAATGGCAAAGTTCAGTGTTCAGTGTTTGGGATTTATAGGCTACGGTAGAAAGTTCAACATCAGAGTTTTCCCATTGTCTGATCAATGCATTTTTTTCCTGAATTAGACTCGAGGCATCCTTCACTACAACAGTCATCTGTACGTGTGATAACAGCAGCCACATATAGGAATACGTGCACAGTTTTGGGATGTTTGGCAGGCCTGGAGGGTGGGGGTTGAGATTGGCAATTCAAACAGTTTGGTTTCCCAGAGATCTTTGGTTCCCACTTCCATTTTTATTTTGGGGAAAGAAAAAAACAAAAATCAAGTAGGGTGTTGCTAAATGGAGTGCTGGAGAACCCATACCCACTTTAGTAAACTAGGGTTCTTTGTCCATTGAGGCTGATGCCATAACAAATCTGTTCATCTGCAAAGGGGTACCAGACTCCTTTGTAGTTTCTGCAACAGTGTAATACGGCTACCTTTAAGGATGTGATCTAGCTAAGCTTCTCTTGTCCCTGCACAAACTACCCTACTGGATTTTTTGGCTATATGTTTTCATAGCCCTTAAGAAGCATCTCTTTGTTCCTTTACCAAACCTTCAAATCTCACTTGTTAAGCTTTATCTTTGCTCCTTCCCTCATGAGCAGCACCTGTTCTATGACTTCAGTTGTATTGTAGGTAATGCGTGCATCTTTTGTTCACAGGCTTAGGCTAAATTGTATGGTGGCATATTACAGTGATGCTATGCAGATCTCCAATTAGACCAAGTAAATGGGTCAGTTTAGAAATTCTGTATATGAGCAATTCAACATTTTTGAAGACACCGAAATCAGAATTTTCAGAACTTTGTTACACAGTTCACAACTCAACTCAAACTCAAAACAACACCACAAGAAAAACATGTACTTTAGGAAAAATATAGACAAAAATGCATATATTTAAAGAAAAATTATCCTCAAAATGCATTTTTTCTATGGGAAAGTTGTTCTCAAAAAGTATGGATGCTAGGCAAATGTGTACAAATATGTGTTCCTTAAAGAAAGAAGTGTCCAGAAGATGTGTACAAATATTGTGCAACTCTTCTACTGAATTCATTAACAATGGAGCAAAAGAGGACTTGCAACCAGAAAGATGAGAAATTTGACAGAATAATTTATTTTTAGCCTTACCATGTGACACACAATTAAGTAGCATGGAGAGGAACTATCAAGGAAATCTCATTCACCATGTTGCTCAGTGTCAGGTATTCCCCAAGTCTTTGCAATTTTTTTCCTCATCCTCAGCATAGCTTCATCTATTCATTTATTACACTGCACCATATAGCTTCTTTCTCTTCATTTTACTTTGGTCATCTTATATGAACAATTATATAGTCACCAAATAAAGATCAAGCAATTACATGAGATTTGTTCTTAGAGAGTACCGCAATGATGTCTTATCATTTGGTTATTAGTGATGAATGTAGTGTTTGATCTGTGGTAGCACATTTACACATTGCCATTTGTTTTTACAGTCACCCATTGACAATTTTTTTAAAATGTATATATGTATCTGTGAAGATATTGTAAGGAAATACTTCTGAAATTTGTCTCAGGAACATATGGAGGACATGTAAGTTTATTGCATCAATATGCTAATTTTTTTTAATGTAATAGGAAAATATGACAATATTTTAAAAAATCATCATCTGTTAAACATGAAGTAAGACTGAGTGCATTTAATAGAGAAATGCAAAAATACAGCCAGGCATCTTTCTGGTCCAACAGCCTGTGAGCTAACTGAGCTTTTATAAAGTATAGAATGAATAGGACAAGACAGAGTAGATGTTATCAAGGCTGTGCATAAAATGTAATTCTTCAAGAGTGCAAAAAGAGCATTCAAATTCTTGAGAATCTCAACTTTTATTCCTATACCAAGGAAAGTTCTGCTTGAAGGTTTGTGGGTAATCCTTACTAAAATCTCAGAAATTTTAAGAGGTAGTTAAATAAGCTTTCCAGCATTTACAATGAAGCAGTAGATTATACAGACTAAAAGCATTCTTGAGTATTCACCATAGGAGAAGTCATAATGCC